TGCTCGCCGCCCATGCCTGGCCAGTCTCCTGGCTCTGAGCCCAAGCTGCTGCCCATGCTGTGGTGTTCAGCATGAAACTAAACCAGAGCTCGTGTGAGTTGGCTCATGCTTGACCCTCACCACCCAGCTGCAGGGTAGGCATGCTCGCCCTGGTCTGCAGCAGGCAGGGGCCAGGGGCTAGCGGCCAGGATGCTTAGTGAAGCTGTGCATCTCCGCCTTGTTTCTATGCTCCCCGCTCTCTCTCTACAGCGTTCCCTCTAGTTGCAGGAGCATTGGCAAGTGGAAAAGGGTGTGAAAAGGTCCAGAAATCCTGGCCATCTGCAAAGCATGAACCTTGTGGTGGAGTGGTTCAGCTGAGCATCGTGCCAGGAGACCGGTCACTCCTGCTGCATTCGCCCAGGCACACTCTGGACTGCGAGGTGCACCCTGGGAGGGAGGGCAGCACCCAGGGTGACGGGCACTTTGAGCAGTAGCTACGGGTCAGCTGTTCAGTCTGACCGATGTGTGTTTGCTTCCAGAGTTACGGCGACCAAGGTCCGAGCCCTCCAGCTACTACAGCAGCGAGAGTCCGAAGGATTACCCCGCACCCAAAAAGCATAAACTGAACCCTGAGTATTTCCAGGCCCGGCAGGAGAAGCTGCTCTCCACAGCGCTGAGCCTGGAGGAGCCAAGTGTCAGGAAGCAGAGCTCCAGTTCCAAGCAACCCGTCCCTGAGACAATCAGCCCCAGTGAAGGGATGCGGGACTATGGCAGGGAGCTCTCCCAGCACATCCCAGAAGTTGCTGGGTACCGGGGCTCTGGAGGCCAGGCCGGAATCAAGTGGAGCCCAAAAGACATTTATATCGGCGTGTCTGCAGTGCAGGTGACCGGAAGCCCGAAGGGGAAGGACCCCGGAGGCCACCGGTTGCGCCAGCGGGAGCAGATGAACGTGCTGATGATGGCTGACAGGGAGCTAGTGGATGGGGAGCTGCTGTCCTACAGGGACAGCGTGGAGAATGAAGACTGCTTACAGCACATGGACGACTTGCAGGTAAACACACACGAGGGCAAATACACCCCTGTGACCGCACCCGCCTGGGCTGTGGGTTGTGGGAGCCCCATCAGACCGGCCAGGGACGGTGTCTTGCAATGCAGCACCCTTGCCATGGTTCGTGCAAACAGTGCGCGTTCCTCTCGCACCGTCCGCGGGGTCCTCTCCGTCCTGCTGGCTGCCGGGGGTGGACAGTCTGCACCCGTGGAACCTTCCCTCTTGAAATGACTGGACCCAGAGCAGAGGATGTGGCCGGTGCCGAGCCGTCTTCTACGCAGAAGGTGGCCGAGAGGGGAGGATGGTCCCTGCCCCCTTGAAAGGTCTGATCTCCACCCCAAGCTCGGCTGAGAGCTGCTCAGCACCCCCATCAGGCGCTCCCAGGAAGTGGTGGCTCAGTGCAGTGGGCAGCAAGTGCATGGTCCAGAGGAGAAGGCAAAGCCCTGAGCTCCTCTTCCCCAGGCCGAGCCCCGAGCCCCCATACCAGCCACTGGCAGAATGCATTTTGGGAGGGTTTTGTCCCACGCCCCTCGATGCTGGAGCACAGGACGTGTCATTCTGCACATGGACGTAACAGGTGAGAGGGAGCCCTGGGTGGGGTCAGGCTCTAGGCTGGGGTCAAAGGATTTGGTGGAAAGGGGGGTCAGGACTGGGGCTCTGGGGACCGGTTCTGGGCAGTGCTTACCTCAAGCAGTGCCCAGAAGCAGCAGCATCCCCCCTGGTTCCTGCACAGAAGCACAGGCAAGGCAGCTCTGCACGCTCCCATCCACCGCTGGCTGCAGCCCCCCACCGCCAGCACTGCAGAGGTGGCAGTGGGGTAGGGGCGGAGGGACATGCTGCTGCTTCTGGGAGCCACGCGCACAACACAGCAAGGCTCCGGCTGGTAGGGAGGGATCGCTCAGTGCTTTGAGCATTGGCCTGCTAAACCCAGGGTTGTGAGTTCAATCCTTGTGGAGGCCGTTTAGGGATCTAGGGCAAAAATTTGTCAGGGATGGTACCTGGTCCTGCTGTGAAGGCAGGGGACTGGACTCGATGACCTCAAGGGCCCTTCCACTTCTAGGAGACAGGCATCTCCATTATAAAATTAAGACTAAAGGGTCTGAGTGGCTGGCTGTGGCCTGTAGGCTGGAGTTTGCCCTCCCTAAGCTATACTCAGCAGATGGCAGGGCTGCAGTGGAGGCTCCTGCAGAGATTCTGAAGCAGAGCGCTC